GCAGACCCAACGCTTTATATAAAGGGGTGGGGGAAAAATACGATTAAAAAATGTTTTCAACGAAAAAGAAAGTACGCATCAACTCTAACTTGGTTTGCGCAGTCAATTGTGTACCGCTACTTACTCGCGTTATGGAAAATAAAAAGTTCATGGGGTCTGTAGAAAGTGCCACTTTAGCTCACCTCCCACAAGTTGAATGTCGCCTGTAAGTTCTGAGCTCTGTAACAACGAGCAAGTTCGATATTTTGGTGGAACGACACTCGATATTTGTAAATTGGAAGAACGTTTTGTTTCAACAAGACATACAAACCAAACATTTTACGAAGTACAAGAAATCGGGAGTTCCATGAAACTGGACACTTTTTAAGTTAAAACAGCTGAAGAAGGGGAGCAGGCAACACCCCGAAATCGATCCGTGTAAAATAAAAAATATTTTTATAAAATTGTATTTTTGGTTGTCTTCGTCTATGGAATAAAATAAATAAGATAAAAAATAGATGAAATCGAGCTTGTCATGAAAATCATCCTACAGTTTTGATCTTTGCTTCTTCCCGCTACCATCTGTTCCTACCAATAGGTCACGTCCTTGGAGGGCAAACGTTTCATACATTGGACGATGTTACAACTGGATAAGTATTTGTTTGATCAAATTCCAAGGAATGATAACGCCAATATTTTAACGTTGAATGTGTTTATTTTGGAAATAGAAACAAAAATTAAATGTATTTGTACCGAATAATTTAAACCCGATTGTATAAATTATGGTAAAAGTTTAATTGTTAGAATTTTCTAAGCAAGATATTAATGTTAACGAATAAAAAACAAAGAAACGACATGAAACAAAAGAAAACAGCTTTAGAAAATAGAAAGATAATAGTATGAGTTAGGTTGGTTTAAAATTTTGAAACATATGTATACAGTTAAGTTCAATGTGTTAGAAGGTAGAATATTATCCATTAAACATACTGGAATTTACTTAGTCTGTTTGAACGCTCGATTATGAAATCAATCAGAAAGTTTGAATTACTTAACTTTCATCACTTTATCGCTCCCTAATAAGAGAGATGCCTAGTTATATTTTTTCAAGGAAACACTTGCGCCGGGATTTACCTTGTCCCATTTACGGAGGAACTCATTAAAGCTCTCGGTTTCAGTTCTAAACGGCAGAGGTATTTTCTAAAGATTTTCATTTCCCTTGGATCCGTCGAGATGAAGGGGTGGTGGGTCGAAGCCTTTAATGAATGTCCTGGTGGGTATGGGACGAAAAACCAACGGATTTTCTCACCTCTTCACAGACGCGTCCCGCAGTTTTTCCGTATGGTTGGGTTTTTCATTTAGGAGCAGCACTGTTATGAACGCCCGCCCTCACGCTGCGTGGGCCGTGAGGGCTCCTTGCCCCCTCAGATTTTCATTTCCGGTTTCGCCCCGCCCCTCCTTCAAGTTTAATAACGGATCTAACCCTCTGCAATTTATTGAAAATGTCTTTATAATTGATGCACCGAAAAAAGGGGATTTTCCATTGTTTATGCAAAAATTAAGGGGTGAGGGGGATAAAATTGGGCGTTAAAATGCATTTGTTGCATAACTCTTTTCTCCAAAATTAAATTAAATTAAACTAACAAAAAATCAAAACGTTTATAATAAAAAAAACTATTCAAATAAATTAAGTACAAATATTTATTTTAAGATAGGACCAGACAACTAAACAAATCTCAGCGACTCTCGGATATTTGAGCATACTGGATTGCATAATGTTTTTAACATTTTTCTTATTATTTACTATTCCATAAGCAACATTGTTTAATGTCATAAGTTAGACAAATAAAAGTCGAAGATCTTGATATTCTGACCAGTGTTAATAAATATTGAAGTATCCATTTCTCAAAATAGTACATAAAAGATATGTTAATGATTTATTTAAACATATTACTGACTTTCTATGTCATCTGTACATGTATAAAGACATTAGTCACGTTAGTTAAATGGAATATATACTATCATAAGTACATATGACCAATAAACAGTTGAATGATATAAAAGTCATCACTTTCATTTTAAAATTTCCAAAATCCGAATTCAAAATATTAAACTTACATCAGGAAAACCGTAATAAATATAAATTTTTAGTGAACTCTAATTGCAGATTTGTTTTATCTTAGTATTCCCCTCTGCAGTTTTCATTGCCATTGATTAAGCAGCAAATTGAAATAATAAAAGTGTGCATTAACTAATATTTTTTACTGTTTGTATTTTTGTGTCAATACAGAGCATAAACTATATTTTTATCTTAGCTTGTCATTCATCTTATTATTCTTGATAAATGACTTTTAATTATTTGAATTTAATTGTGATTATTACTATTTTTATTTGGCAATGCAACTTTGATAAAATTTTGTTTGACTGTCAAATTTGATTAATTATTATTGAATATTTCAGTGAAAAAATAAATATAATCAAACAAAGCTTTTTTATAGGCAAACATGAAAGAGAAATCAATCATCTCATCTTTTAATTTTTCTGCATTTCCAATTATTGCCACCATTGCAATTTGTCGTCTCAAGACATAATTAGTCCTTCCATTCAATCAAAAAGGAGCAAAGCATTTTACTGAATAAAGGCTTTTCAAAGACACCGTAATACTCTTTTTACCCCGAGGTCAAAAGATGGAAATATTACAAGTAAAAATATATCAAAAGCTGTAGCAGGGTTTTATATAAAATACTTGTTAAAAAGCAGTAACTCTTCTTTACTTAACCATGCTGTTTCAATTGTATCATAATTTTTTCATAATTGTACTTTGTTATGAATGTGTAGAGATTAGTGACCGTTAATCGATAGTTATTCAGATATCGTGAGATGCGGTCGGGTGTGATGTAGGTTTCAGAAAATTGGGCACTCTCAACACGACACACAAGGATGGCACAATTACACAGAAGACAAACACTTTGAGCCCTGAAGATGATCTCAATAAAAGATCGAAACGTTGGCACGATAAAGAAAATGTTTTTCTGAAACCTACATCACACCCGACCGCATCTCACGATATCTGAATAACTTTGTTATGAATAGCAAACCATTTCTATGAGCTAAATCATTAGTTTTATTGTAAACTAAATTGGTGTGTATTCTATTGAACATTTTTCTGGAATAATGGCATTACACCCTCGGGATGCTTTTAACACTTTTCTACGCAGTTATTTCCAAGATTCATTTTTTTTTTTTTTTTTCAAAAAATAATATGCAACTGAATTCAACCCCAAATCAAAACTTTCGAAAATTGAAGGAATTGACCTACCATAGCCACTCCTTAGTTCAACCTAGCTCCTTCAGCCTACCACATCCTACAAGCAACTTCCTCAATGTATTCATTTTTCATACATTGTCAAGACAAAAACTGGATAGACTTTCAATCAAAATAGAAGATACCACCTGGAAAGTGAGCAGCAGGTCTCTATTATGATTGCCTATATGAACAGTTCGGAAAATTACTACAGTTGAAAACATATAATAAATTTCAGTTAAACATTGTCTGAAACATGTTTTACTTATTTTTACAGACTGTTTTTCGAGGGTGTTGTTAGCCAACTTTTCACTGGGACATTGAGTGGGGGTTCTTCAACACAGTGTCCAGATTTTTTAACAGAGGGAAGGAGAGGCAAGGCAATCTCTAATTGGGAAAATCTTTCTGAGTTACGTGCTCATATGTATATGTCTTATTTTGACTTTACAACCTGGGGTAACAGGTTAGCAAGTTAAGGACAACTGAAGAAAAAACATGAGTGATGACAAATCAGAAAAAAAAGAGCACAGAATTTTCTGTTTTATGCACAGAGAACAGGTAATGACGACTAATGTTTGTCTATAAATAATATATACTACTACTAGATTTTTTAATTTTGCAATAACTTTCCACTTCAAAAAATCATAATTGGACATGTATAATAAATATTAAACATACATAAAATTTTCCACGAAAATGATTTATTTTATTTTATTATTTTAAAGTATTATTATTTTGTTTTAATATAACTTATATTTACAAAATACAATAAAATTATTAAAAGTACTAATGTGATTCTCATTACTGGCATCTCATTTGACAGTTTGTAATGGGTGTCAGGGGAGAGGGAAGTTTGAATACCAGCTCCTCACATGATCGCCATTAGAGTGAATGTCATCATCATTAGCGGCTCCTGTGTGTGACTACACAAACTGTAGGCTCTCTCTTGACACTTAATTAAATTTCAAACTAAGGACTTGCAAACTTTCTTATGAGCACAGAAACACTTAACCCCTGGGAAAACAGTGTTCCAATCTTTGGATTGCGATGAGAGTTGTGATTACTACATTTTTGTACTGTTTATAAAAATCTATTAATCAGAGCAAATGTGTTCTAATGAAGAAAAAATTTATCACAATGTGATTCTGTTATATTTTTGTAACATGAGTAGGACAAAGTAGAAAAGATCCACTGTAATAGTTGGCTTTTCTTGTGAATTACACCATTAATTCACATATCCCTTTCTACCCTATCTTCCATTCAGTTATTAACTGGGCTTCATTAAATTAATTACTGCAGATAGCGAAAATGGAGGCAGTGGTTAGCAAATTAATCAATTTTAAACCCCCCCCCCATTATGTGTGCAAATCCCACCATTCCCATCAGACCCTTCCTTACTCCATTCATTTCTGACTGAATTGTTGTGAATTGTGAATATTTTTCAAATTTTTCTAAGACAGACGAAAAACTCAATCCACAAAACAAAAAGGGATAATAAAAAATCTATCTTAAATTGAATTACATATTATCACCACTCTGAAAGTTGTTCCATTGAACAATAAAAAATAAATAATGCAGTAAAAAATTAAAAATTGTAATCAGATTGAATCATTTTGTTCATATCATTGAGATAATCCAAATATGCACTTCACTTCACAAAAAATTATTATTGTATAATTAGTATTGTATAATCAAACTTGTTAAAATAACCTCAACATACCTGTAAGCTGGGATGGCAGCCGAGTTTAAGCAGAGTTTTTACCACACCAATATAGCCTTTGTTGACACCAATGTGGAGAGGAGTCTGAGTTCTATTGTTTCTTATGTTTAAATCAGCTCCCGCTTTGGCTAATAACTCGATAACTCCAGGTTCATTGCCAAATGCAGCATGGTGAATTGCCCGTTCGCCACTTTTATCCTTAGGAAATAATACAATAATTATTAACAAATAAATGCATATATTAAGAGAGTCACATACTTCTATTTCAATATTAGCGTTATGCTTAAGGAGCAACTTTACTACTTCAACATGACCATTTTGACTTGCAGCCTGTAGAGCAGTATGGCCTCCAAATATTGCATTCACATTGACTTCTTTTCTTATAAGGACTTCTTCACAAGTTTGTACATCACCATTGGCTGCAGATCTAACCAGTTTTAAATTTATGTCACCCGTTGATGAAGCTTCAAAAATCTTTTTCAAGACTGCACTTAAGCGTTCTTTAAAATAAACATTGTTTTAATTAAAATGTTTTAACACAAAAAATAATTTTTGTATACATACCACCTCCAGGATATGATATTTTAGTAACAGCAAGTGGATTGTATGTCCATGATGTCCCACAAACTTCAACCTTCAAGTCATTATCGTGGTATATTTGTTGAATCCTCCCAATGCTGCCCAAAGTCTAAAGTTTTTTTAAATACAAACCATTAATGCATTTGTGTTTCTACATAAATTTAAAAAAACAAACCGGAGTCATTGCTGTGGCCCATTCTCCATGCCCTTTTTGCAAAACTTTCATACGTTCTAAGTCACTACAAATCTGGACAATATCACCAACAGTAAATTGTATGTTGCGAGAAGATGGAGATGCTGAGACTTTTGTAAGAACAGCAGGATTGAAAGTCCATCTGAAATTCAAGCAAAATAATTTATAAACATAATATAACAATAAATATTAATAATAATAAGTTTTAATTTTTCTCACCTGTTTCCACTGGGATATGTAACAGCAATGTCATGATCTTGGTCAATATCAACCACTACACCTGTAGTTCCAAGACATTCAAACATTCGATCTGTCCAACCTCCATGTCCTTGCTGGAGAGTCTGTACTATTTCCAGTTCAAGATCTACTTTAACCTGTAAAAAAGAAAAAATTGTTAATATTTACTACGATTTATTATTATTAAGAGGAATAAATTATGAATTCTACCTGATCGCCAATGCACAGTCCATGTGGTCCATCTCTTCCAGAGTCATGCTGACCCAATAATGGGAGATGGTCACGATAAACTGCATGCCCTTTGGCATCATGCAGCACTTTTAAATCAGCCTGAGCAAAACAAAAATAAAATAGTACATTTTGTAATAGAAGAATGAGAAAAACTTACCATGCCTTCAAAGCCAACACGGTATAAATTTTTGGAACCATTATCCCAGACAACATAGGCAGCAGATCTTGGAGAAGCAGCAGACCAATCTTGAAGATCATTCACTTTTCCTCGTCTCCCATTCCCTCCATCCTGGTCTTCCCACTGCCAGTCAACCCCTCTAACTACTCTAGCACCTGGATATATACCTCTAACAGCTAGTTTCTTGCTTTTCCTTCTTGTCTCAACCAATACGCTAAATTACATTAGTTAGTTTACAGTTTTCTTTTAAAATCAAATTTGTGTAAAAACATTTACCGTTCACTTCCGGGTACTGTTATCCTGTAAAATCTGTGCCGGAGCGAATGTTTGTCTGTGTGGTAGCAAATAGAGCACAAATCGTAATTTGTGCAATCAGCGCACTTCCAGCGGATTCCGAATATAGGCTGTTGTCTACATGTATCACAAAGAGTTCCTTCATGTTTTACTCCTAAAAAAAAGGGGGGATTAGGAACTAACCAAATACAATTTTTAAACAATTTGAGAAATGTTTATTTAACAATAACTTACCTGTTGGCGAACTGTCAAGTATTCTAAGGTCGTAAACACCAGCACATCTATAGTTGGCAGCAGTTCCATTATCCCAAACAACGACTACTTCTTCAGGCGATTCAAAATTGCGAACTGTGCCAACATGACCTTCTCCTCCATCCTAAAAGAAGAAAAAATAAATTTGAAAAACAATGATCATTCTTTAATTCATGTGGTTTCAATTAATCTATGGTAAAATAAAATTCATCTAGTCTTCCTATTTTTAATAAGCAGTCAGACATAAGTAGTACCGCCAATTTAAAAACAATAACAAATAAATATGAATAACTACATCAAACAATTATACAAATTGTAATTGTTTTAAAAATTAAAAATTATTTCCTTACTCACTAATAATAATTTATAATATGTTTATATCACTATTTTATTATACAGTGCTATGACAGTTCTTCTCTGAAGATGATGCAAAACCGAAATGCATTTGAGTAACATCAATATTCCATGAGGGTAGATGAAACCAGTAAGTGACCCAGTGGCAGTTCAACAGGTGTTCACTGATTTGCAGACCAACACCTACCATTAACTTTGTATACGACCTCAAAGACATTTTTATATCGCAATTATGTACCTGACTGTTCATGTGAACAAAATTAAGAGAAACTAACCAACAACTAGCATCTCACTCAAATTGTGAGGTATTGTTATTATTTATTTTAAATAATTCTATACAAATTATTAGAAACTTGGAAAACTTCTTTACAATTCTAAGTTGGTAAAGGAAATTCCTAAATTGCAAATATCTGGCAACGTTGTGTTGAGGAAACTCAGCAACGGAAATTAAGAGAAACCCGTTGACAATTGGCATAATGAATCAATCCACTCAGATTTTCCTCCTTCTTTTATTATTTATTTTAAATAATTATTTACATAAACATATTATTGCATTTTAAACCACAAAAATTCCAAATTGTAATTAGGATTTGTTTTTATTCTTATTCCTCATTGTGGTGTATAACACTAAAGTATGTAATTCCATTTACTTTTAGTGATAATTTGTTTGCAAATATATAAATCCTGACCATATTATTTTGTTGCAATGCATAATTTTTTTATTAAAATTAATTTCATTTTTTCACATGTTCCCAATACAAAATAAATTCAATGTATATAAAATCAGTTGTTTGATTTTTTTTAAATAATTAAAAATCATTAAATTTGCAAATGTTTGTTCGTTGGGTCCTTTAATATTCATGTTCAGATTAATGCATGAATATCAACTATGCTTTTGTAATAAATTGCTTCCCATTACTTAAAAACGATGATATAAAATTAAATGAAAGTAGTCAGTAGAAAATATAGTATTCGTTTTATTTTTTAGGTAATAACAGGTTGTTTCTGTTTTCTTTTCTTTGTTTCTTTCTTTTTCTCTGTTTGCAGATATGAAACCTAGCTCTAGTAGTTTCCAGTCAACTAACAACATACATGAGTAGTCTCAGCAACAGAAATTAGGATACCTGTTGACATCAACAAAAAAAAGTGAATTGACATTAACTTATTAAGAAAGTAAACATATTAAGAAAAAGGAATTAGGAGAAATCTGTTGGCAAAAAAAGAACATCCAACATGCTATTAATCAACCTGAATCAAAAAATTAATCTCCCCCCACAAAAAAAAGTTACTCATTTGGCATGTTAGTTACTCAAGGCATTTACCTTTGAAATAGATTTGTTGAATATAAAGTAGATACCTTCAAGAAAATTTTGAATATAAAAACTTAAAAAATGAGTCATAGTTGAATATATTTTTTATGGCTACAGTGGTACAAAACAACTATCAGCACTATTTTATCAGTAGATAATGTTATTTGTTATTATTATGAGTCACTTAACAAGCACAAATATTTAAAACAGACCTTTTTCCATAGTTCTTTTTTTTTAATCTTTATACATATGTAATTATACAAATGGCAACTTCCATGTAGACAGCAATAGAAATTAGGAGAAACCCATTGACAACCATTTATTATAATTATATCCATCTTTATTTGAATCATGGAGAAATTATATTAATTTATTTAAGTACTTAATTCTATGTAAATAATTAATTTTCAACTTTCTTTGATACACAAGTTGAAAAAGCAAATGCATGATTATACAAAGGGATCAAGTGTAATTCGAGGAGAGCCTGTTTAAAGTATATGGTCCAATATACTTGAATTAGCTGACTATGTATAACAGCTTTAAAATAAAATACTTTATTACTAAGTATATTAGTACAACCTACAGAATTAACACAATTTTGTATTTTCAATTCTTTGACGTTTGAATAAATAGTATGTACTGTGGCTTTCAGACAACTGATAACTTGTACAAAAAGAGATTCAGGAGCAGAAATCACATAAAATCAGTCAACCACTCGCATCTTACTTAAATCATAAAATTATAACTAATTTGATGACTTCATTTGAAGCAAATGGGCCAAGAAAGACACTTCAATTGGGTAGTGTACATTGAGCAACATTTCTCTACATGCCAGTCAAGTACACGGACTTTAAACCAAAAGTGTCTGTGTGTCAATATTGCATGGCCAATTCTTAATCAGGTGAGGATGATCTCTTTTCTACGATTCAGACCTTCCAAAGACATCGACCGTGCTCTTGATATGTAGAAGCTTCTCTATTGATCTGGCACAATTGATAATAGTTATTCAGATTTCGTGAGATGCGGTCGGGTGATTGATAATGCTTGACAACAATTGATAATGCTAATTCCTTTGGATCAAATTTTTATTGAATTTTTAGTGTCATGGATCACAGTGGTCAGGTTCAGAGATTCAGACGTCCTGGCCTTAGCCACCATCTGTCTTTTTACACACACTGAGTTGGCTTCTAACAAGAGCACAACGAGGAGGATGGAGGAGCTGTCTTGGACAGCAGTAATTGCACTCTGGGAGTCAGTACAAGGTAGTCTGAGAATCAATAGTCTTGAATCACCTCAAGCATGTGCCAAATCGCATACAATTACACTCTACACCTATACTACAAGTAAACACTACACCAATTATCTGTTTTTATGAGTCATTTTACAACAGTGTAAGATCTGTACGATTTCTTCTAAATTTCAATCCATAGATGGAATGTTATTGGACTGCATTCAGCTGACTTGTACACAAAGAAAGTCAGCAACATAAATTAGGAGACATCTGTTGGCAACTGGTATCTTCTTTTGAATAAATGGGTAATCTAATTTTTCCCGAATGGCCTTCCAAGTTCCGCCGGTTGTCAAACAGCAACGGAAGCTGTGATATTATAATCTCGTCAATATATGAGGTGAAAGCGTTCTAAGACTTTTTTTATTTTCCTTTCTATTGAAAAGAAATCATTTACTTGTTTGCCCCATTTCCAGTCAGGGCCTCGGATGACACGGGCGCCCCTTCCTTCCATCCTAGGCGAAAGTCGTCCTATGGAAAACGCGAAATCGCTTAATTGGAAAAACGACTGATTGTCAACACAACTATTCACGACCCCGAGAAGAAAAACACGGAGGTTACGGCGCGGTTACAATTTCCAGCGACTACTGGCGGCGAGGCTACAATCGAACAAGTGGTCGAAGACTGACGAGAAGCTATTTGCCCCGTACACATGAAACCAGCCTTCACCACAATTTAAATATTTAACTATGAGTTATGTCACTTACTGTGTACTTAGTTAGGTACTTACAAAACATAAGTCAAGAATAAAATAGTAATTGCGGTATATAAAAAAATAATAAAGCAATAGAAACTAGGAGAAATCAGCTAACAAGAAAAACAATCAACTGGCAAATTAGATTAAGAGATTTAGCACTATAAACCAGGCTTGGAATGTCAAATAATATAAGCCTGCCATAAATAAATATTTAAGAAAAAAATTAACACACTTATTATCAGAAAAATTGTGTCTCAGTTACAATTCCTTAATAGGGATAGTTTATCATTCATTAAAACATGTCATGAATAATCTGGATATCACTATGTTCTGAATGAAAAAATAAATCCGATTATCTGCTCTTTTGACCTAAATTGTTCAAAAATGAATAGGGTTATTTGCAATTTATTCTTATTCTATTAATTTTAATTAAATTAACCGATTCATTCATGTGTAATTCAAACTGGAAAATTACAGTCAGAAATCAAAAACAGCAAATAAAATTAAAGCTTCAAATTATTATACAAAGTTTCATTATTTTTATATCATATACTTATATAATACATATCAAACATCATATATAATACAAAATGATCTGATAACGACACTTGTGCAGTAATATGAACAAACAGTAAACGTTTCATAAGATAAAACTTTTGACAATAGAAACAAATCCAAAATAACATGTATATGAAGAGACACAATTATATAAATTGAGGGGGGGAATGGTCTAGGCTCTAATCACTGTAAGGTAAAGGCTCGGGTTCGAATCCAGGGGTCTTGCATTCCAATCCGACATAATTACAAATGAGCTTTTTTTCAAAAACACTGGCACTCTGAGGGTTCATATTACCTCATAAGTGAAATATCTTAATTTAAAAAAATGTAACTTGGAGGAAAAATATTTATTAAATATAATGTTTTCAATAAAAAGTAAAACGATTTTTCTCCAAATGTAGCCACAAGAGCAATGGGCCTATGATTGTGTAAAAGATCTGATTTAGAATCAGCTTGTGCATTTTCTAAAATATGTTTAAAAAATATTGTTTCACTTTTTGTGTGGTGTTTAGTGATTGTTAGTCAATGATTATTCGGATATCGTGAGATGCAGTCTGGAGTGATGTGGGTTTTAGAAAAACATTTTCTTTATCATGCCAACGTTTTGATCTTTATTGAGATCAATTTTTCAAGTTTCAATTCCAAAATTCAGTAGTATTATTTTATTATGCCAATTAATACATGGTCCATATACATATGTTTAATATCTACTCTAGGAATAAAAGAAACGTAAAAAAAATACAATGTGTAAAAGCAAAGTTTATCCCGGCTTTAGAATAGACACGTATCAAAATGTGTGTAAAAGTTCAAAATCATCAATACAATCTAAAAAAATTATGACTCCATTGAAAGAAGGAGACTCAAAGCATCATTCAACGTCGTCTCAGAAGCAGCAGACAAGAAGAATATTCTGCTATCGCAAACTGCAAAGGCTTTTCGGCTATCGTAAAAACACCATTAGTTCGAGGAATTCATTGAAGCAAGCAGCAGAACATTTCAAAAGCTTGTCCTTACAGAAATAAATACTTCCTGTTGGTTGGAGTGCATCTTAATAAAATTCTAAATTCTATTGGTTATTTAATTTCAATTATAATATAAATGAAAAAAAATTTCAATTTGCTGAGAATTTCTACACCAATTGGAACAGAACAGTACTTTTAAAAATGTTATTTAAATTGCATATGTTCAGTTAATTTTTTTTTCCACATGGCTTAGTGCTGCAAATCAATTTACCTAATTTTGGTAATTTAAAGAAATTTAATTAATTTTAAACTATGTAAACTTATGTAATACTAATCTATTACATTTTACATTATTTATGTTCATTAGATAGTTAATATTAAAGACCATATTCACTTATGTTTTATATTTATAAGTGAATATTTATTCACTTAAAGAATTATCTTAATTAATCTCTTATTATCTTAAATAATTCCTTATTCACATTCATACAATGTTGGCAGCAATAGATTCCCAATTTGCTCTTTGACATTGTTGATCACTGATCATAACTTTTTTAAAATGCAGGATCACTGGATTGGAATTCAGGACCTTTGCCTTACTGTAATGAGCACCGTGTCAATGCCTAAACCGTTGCAGCCGCTGTCGCCCCCATGACACTTCTCTCTTCATCTAAGTTGTCAGATGACTTTTTTCTGTTATTTTTCTTGTTAACTGATTTGTCCTGACCACATTGAATCATTTCCTTTTGCAAAGGCTAAGTTTATAGAAATAATAATGGTGGGGTGAGTGTGTTGTTTAATTTTTTTTAAAAGATAGTTCTTATTCACAGTTTGTCATTTTCAACTATCCAGATTTCAAGCTTAAAGCCCAGCATCAAATTAAAGGAGTTACAAAGTTTACAGCCACCTTTCTCGACATGAACAAGTGAACCCGCCGGTCAACCGCTAACGCGACTTTCCAACGAGAAGCTGGCTTTAATGCCACTCAGTTTTGAACGTGCAAAACAGCGGGAATTATAAAAAATTAAATATTAACTTAATAAATACTGTAAGAAAATAATTTTAAAATAGTGACTGGGTTTTATGTCTTTTTATTAATTAATTAATAATAAAATAGATAAAATTAATAAATTAATGATAAAATTAACAGTTAAAGAATATAAATATACCTAACAACTGTGTTTTAGTGTCATTTGTTGTTTCTAATTTAGTCACAAATATTCCTGTTGTATTGTAAAGAATGTACAAAACTAATAAAGCATAAACTTACAGAGAATTCAATTAACGAATTTGTGAAAAAAATATAATAGACCTCTTAAATATATACCTAATTAACTAATTTTTGTAAATTCAACAGTAAATTTTATGAAATGAAAAAGTTACCAATGGGGGGTCTCTATTATCCCCACTTTGTGTTGAAATATCCGTAGATAACTTTGAAAAAACTCTTTTCAAATTAAATAACAAATTAATTAAATCTGTCCTTTTTTGGAATCGCTTTGTAGGCGATATTTATGTGTATGGATTGGAACACTAGAGGATCTATAAGATTTCATCCAATTAATTAATTCTTTACACCCTAATATAAATTTCACATTGGAAATAAATAATGATGGTTGTTTAAATTTTTTAAATTTAAAACTGTTCATAATAAACAGTTAAAGAATTGGATAGACAGATATAGAAAACTTACAACAGACACCATGATACCAGCGGATTCTTCTCACCCATGGTGCCAAAATGCTGCTGGGTGCATTTGGCTCATGGACCGTACATTGAAACTCCCATTAACACCTGCTAATTATAAAAAAGAATTACAAATAAAAAACTTAGCTAAACACAATGGATATCAAGAAATATTAATTGATAGGTCGCTAGTTAAATGATTTTTTTTTTTTTTTAATTAACTTTTTAAAGAACAATTGGCCTCAGCCACCCTACCAAAAATGAATCATTAGGTTTTTGTCGCTTACCATTGGTGAACTATCAGAAAAATTTTAAGCTTGAAAGTTTCAGATTAATTCAGAATTACCAGAGATGAGTGTTGAAGAACATTCTAGAACGTTGGAAACGTTCTCTCAAGACCTAAAGACAAGGATGCCAACTTGCCAAAAAGGGGTGTTTACCAACTTAATTGAAATTAATGCTATATTAAATATATAGGACCAAGTGGCTATATTGATTTTGATTGACTACTTTTTTAAAAATATGTACCTACATAATATTTGAAATACGAAGTAATGACTAATTAAAAATTATTTTTCATGCTGTATGTATTAGGATATTTAGTTTTGTTATGATTCCCGGTTTTTGCATGTTCAAAACTGGCGGCATCAAAACGCAGCTTCTCATTGGAACATCGCGTTGGCGGGGGATCGGCGGTTTCACTCTTACAATTCATGTCAAGAGCGGTGGTTGTCCTTATTCCTGATGATGAGCTTTAAGCTTTAAATCCGGAAGTTGAAATCGACTAACTGTAAGTAAGAATTATATATTTTTTAAGATTAAGGCTGTGCTGTCTCCTAAATTAACTAATTGGGTCTCTTGAGATTCAGATTGTCATTTGACTTAAGTTTTCATTATCAAAAGTTATCTATCATTTTATAATTTTATAAAACTAACAAAAAATTTCATGTAATCAAGAAAATAATGGATACTCCATCATGTTGCAGTGTGATATGTTTCCTTTAAAATTACTACAGTTTATGTAAAAAAAAAAAAAAAACATAAATAAATAAATAAAATAAAATAAAAAATCGGGTTTTCAGAGCTTTTTTTAATGCTTACGAATTTCATACTGGATTCTGCTTAAATTTGTTTGAGAACAATGATTACAATATGAACAGTCAGATGGGGTGCGTAGAGTTGATAGTTGTAGACTGCATGAAATTATTCCATAACATTCATATTCGGTGAGGTTGGAATCCACATTTTTGGGGAAAAGCACAGTCCTCTAGTATGTAATTTGTCAGGATATAGTAGCTAAATTCCATCATTTATACAGGTGAATCAATGATGTGAATGAGTTATACGCACTTGTTTTGGGTAAAAAGTTCAGTGCAATGCTTGGCATGGAATTAGATTCATCATTCACAAGATTGCCAAGATTTTGTATTTTGGTCCAAGAGACCAAAGATAAGAGGTCCAACAGTCCCCTTCCAGTTCCAAGCATTCATTCCCCTTTCGACTCACGATTGGTCCAACCGGGAAACTCCCATATAAAAGTTTCTCTTGACCCCTGTCTTATTCTCAATGTATATTTTTTTATTACTTTATTTGTAGCCTATACAGATTATTACATATTAAAAATGTGATCACAGTACATTTTTAAACACATGGACAGCTCTAACATTAATGTCAGTGCTACGCCTGGAGGACACATGCCATGAGAAACCCTTCATTGTTGGCATTCAGTGTGAGGGATTAATAGGCAAGGAGGTCTCGAGACTACCGTTGATTAAGGTGGGTTCTCAGGAAGGGAATGTGTAGAAAGGCTCGAGCAGTAGGGTTAGGATGGATCGTCACCAACGAAGAGGTTGTTGTGAAACTTTTGGAATTGGGAACGGATCAGTTCGTTAACTAAAAGAATGTTGAGGTTGTTATGGATAAGGAGGTTAGTAACTTAGTAACTGTAAGGAGCTTTTACAATTCATCTGAGGATATTTGATTGTAAGGATTGGATGCACTGGATGTTGGTTGGCTTGGCAGAACCCCACAGTTCCACTCCATATGTCCAAAGCGGTTACAGTAAAATCTTGTATAATGTTAGTTGCATCTTGACAGTCAAGAGAGATTTTGGGCCTAGGAGTCTTCATAGTGATCCAAGTGTTCTGTTAAGCTGTAGTCTTTTAAGTCTTGTGTGGGGATTTCACACCAAGGTCCATGTCTAGGTAGACCTAGATATTTGTCTTGAGTGGAAGTTGGTATCACTTTGTTGTTGATGTACGAAAAGGGCAAAACTGTTTTATCAATGAGGACATACATTGAGTACTCTTGTACCTGTCTTTGATAAGCTCAAGGTTTTCTTGGAAGCATGTATAGGATTCGAGAGAGGACAAAATTCCATTGATGTCCGCATAAGAGGTGATGATGGTATTGGGAAAGGTCTGCAGTACAGATGATATAAAGGATGGGACCAAGAATGCTCCCTTATGTTATGCTTGTATTGGTCTGATTTCCGAGAACTCTACGGCACTTCACTCTGACGCAACGGTTGGTTTGGTAAGTTATTCTCAATAATAATGTAGATTTTTTAAACTCAAGTTTCTCCATAAAAAAGGCATATCTTTTAAACCCCCTTAGTGCTACAATAAATTTGAACACACTTCTAAAAAACTGATTCAATTTCCATTAAGAAAACATACCCTACAGAATGGGTCCATACAAATCCAAGGGAGAAAGAACATTAAAAACATTTACCAAAACTGGCAAACACATTGCTTTGGTTAGACAGTACTTCTGTATAATGTACTGGTAAATAGTATTTGAGAAAACATAACATGGGTATATTGACTCAGCTCATAGATCCCCACGAACATGGGTTTGATTCCCACCATTGCCCTAGAATTTTCTGAAAGTTAGTTTCCTACTACTTACTTCTAAAAAGAAAGATTTAGTAAAAAGAACTGTACCAAAAAACTACTTAAAGTACAATAAGCAAAAAGGCTTCAGTGCTTGAGGAATACCAAACCCTTGCTTCCTAGCTAGTATTCTCATTATCAATATAGTTATAATAATTTATATCAACACTTAAATTAATTCCAAGTCAAGGAACTTGTAATTCTTGGTTCTATAGTATTTTATGTTAATTCCATGTAGCTAAGTAATAATTTAAAATGTTAAAAGAAAATGCAGGAAACTATTACATAACCACATACAAATTTTGATAACAAAAGAAATCATCTCACCTTAAATATAGATATTTCTAAATCATTAAATATGTCATCTGTGTGATAACCAATACATTTGTTTTAAAGGTTATAAGTACACAAGAGAATTAAATTTGGGGTTGAAAAATTATCATTAAAATGTTCTTTATATAAAAAATTTAATTTGTTTTGTACAAATCGTTTATAGTAATATTTTATAATATATTTGTATAGTAAATTATAAAATAATATAATATAATAATACTGACCCAGTTAACAATAGAGTTTACCTTTTTTTAATAAGACCTGTTTTTATCAAATATCTTGCAATAGGAGGAGTGATAGCAAAAGTAATTGCAAAGCGAACCGGGCTTAAAACTTTTGAAATTGCATAAGCAACAACAAATGTTCCTCCTTTTTTAAGAATGTCACTTTTGTCAGCGAGTCCGACTTTTTCAAGCGCCCAAACGACATCGAGACCACTAAAGACAAAAAAAGCATGAAAGATATTTTCAGTTGGCGAAAATTTTAAATATGGATTAATTACCAGTAGAGAGCGGTGTACAATCCTCCTAAAATTATGAGGCTGTGGCCAATGTGTACAGCAACAGCTATCGGGCCGTATTGCTTTATAAAATTAACAAATTTTTGTCTCTTACTCAGTTTAACATCACTGTTCTTGTCAGTTGAAGTGGAGTAATGCATTTTGCCAATTTGGCTTTGAGAATATACTAATCTAGAACCAAAAGTTAAACACAAAGTAGTTGCAAATTTAAGATTTGTTTTTGCAATGATTAAATAACAACTTAAAATCATTGATAAAGAAAGTGCAATACTTCAAATATTTATTATTCAATAATAGATGAAAGAACGTTTTTCTGAAATACAAAATACAATGTAATTATGAATATAGTTGACTATTAAATTAGGGAAAAGTCAGACATGTTCGTATGTGATATACGTTTTATTAAAGTTTATTAATATTCCGTTTATAAATATCTATTATAAAATATTACTTTAAAACAATCACCATCGGTAAATACCCAATATTTCACAAACTATGTAAATAAAATATACATATTTACATTACTTCAAGATTTTCAATATAACTGACACCAATCTAACATATATTTATTTTTAAAGCACAATATTAACTCACGGAGTGCAGCTATTTACTATATACTTCAGAGCTTCTGGTACTGTTTCAGTGCAGGGCCCTTTGAAATGAAATCTAGAAAGAGATATTTAAATTAGCATTTTTTGTTATGACAATTTAATAGATTTTATTTACTGGAAATTGCTAGTGACTGGCGTAGATTCGATATTAAATTCTGCAACAGGTATATTTCTGGCAGCAAGAGCCGGTGCATACATTGCAGCTGGATAAACAACTGATGAGCTCCCAATAATTAGACAAGCATCACATTCTTTTAAGGCATTTTCTGTAAAATTGAGAAATTAAATATCAAAGAGTGATAAAATAACTCATACATTACCAGTAGCATCAATAACTTTTTCCTCAAGGTTTTCTCCAAACCAGACGATATGTGGCCTTAAAAGGCCTTTACATGTTTCAATTTTGCACCTTGGAAGTTGTTCTTCAGGAATTGGGCTTGATTTCACATTAGGATCTGGAGCTCTGAACGGTAATTGCAATTAAATAAGCCAGCATTTTAAAACAATACAAATCATCTCACCCCAAGCCTTCCAATGCAGCACAAATCGGTGAATCGAAATTAGAAGTGACATTTTCACATTTAATACAGCGTGTTTTAAAAAGAGATCCATGCAATTCAATTACATCTTGAGATCCTGCCCTTTGATGGAGGCCATCAATATTTTGTGTGATTACTGTCATTTTTCGTCCAACATTTTTCAGAAGAGATTCTGCTTCAGCTATGGCATAATGTGCCTGCAATATGATTTAAATTAGATTAAATTTTGCGAACTATAAAATTCAAATGTACACACCTTATTGGGTTTTTTCGTGAGAACTAGTTCTCTTCTATAATGATAAAATTCCCAAACTAAGGAGGGCGAACGTTTAAACGCATTGTAAGTAGCAAGATCTTGAGACTGATAGGTTCTCCAAAAACCCCCTGCACCTCTAAATGTTGGAATTCCTGATTCAGCTGATGTACCTGCACCAGTGAGGACGATTATGTTTCTTGCCTGGGCTAAAATTGGCCTTAATTTTAAGTATTCTGCTAAGCTTGTTGCTGCCATGATGAACTGAAATTACAAATTCAAAAAAAAAAAAAAAATAAAGCATAACATTTATTCAAAACAAGCATACTGCAAAAACTTACTAAACTAATTAAAATCAAATTGTGACAAAGATCAAATATCTACGATCTAGTAAAAACTCAAAAATTAAAGAGAACAGGAAATTCACTACTTGATAATGATAAATCAAATAATTGGCTTTTAAAAGTCACAGAACTCCCCCTCCAAAAATTTCTATTATTCATTGAAATTTTTGACATTATAAGATAAGAATTAACAATATACTTCATTTAAAACCAAATATGCATTTTTATAGCATGGCTACAATTGAGATTTTTACTGAAATAGTTTACGTTTAGTATTATTAATAGTTTCAATTAATTATTCTTTTTATCTAACCATTGAATATATATGTAAATATTATTAGTAGTATTTGCAAATATATACAAAGTGCCTAGTCATAAAAAATTATATGCAGTAAAAAGTTGGACAATATTTGCAAAATTATACCAATTATTGTAATTGATATAATACCACTATACCTGTGTACAATGAATGTTCTTATTATTGAATTTCTTATCTTATCGGGTTGTCCGGAAAATAATGCAGGATTTTAAGTTTTCATTAAAAAAAATCTATATAAAATATTCTGTTTACGTTTACAGGATTACTCATTTGTATGAATGTCNTGGGAAATTATTTTGATTAAAGAACATTGCTTTAAAGTAACTAGTTTCTTTTTTTTTGTTTAATACCAAAATCCTGCATTATTTTCCGGACAACCCAATACTTTAATCTGATCGCTTTCAACAAGTCACCAAAGAAAAGCGAGTTATCCCAGACAACAAAGAAAACAAATATCTTATTGAGAGACCAAATTTGGTTATTTATTCTATTAATCTTTTTTGTCAATGTGTTCTCAGCACTAGTCTCTTTTGAAAATCATTTAGAAAAATTGAACAAAATCCACTTCACGATGCTTTTTTTTTTTTTAAATAACATAAACACAAAAACGTTCAATTTTTCAGTCGATCTATTTCCACTTTTTTCAATATACGTTTTACATACATTAATTCAAGTAATAGTTTCTAAAAATGCACATCAATTCTTAATGACTTGATTTTTGAATTATTTTTGTGTTTGAATTATTTTTTGAGTTTTGACTTATCAAGAGCCAACTGTAGTTGCTTGTGGTCTGTCAGGTACATTTCAGCCATATTCAGTGATTGAAAATTTTTTGTGCTATTTTTATTTAGTCAAGGATTTCATAAATTTCATCACCCCCATGAAAAATTTCACAATTTTGTACCAACTTGTTTGATATTCGATTATATTCTAAAAGCTCAAAAATCCAAAGCAAACGGGTAAAATAAAGTTGCTTCTTTATAAAGCTTCAAACCTGTACCCATTTATCTTTTTTTTTTCATGACGTTTACTAAATACGGACATTTAATAAATCCATGTATTTCAATTTTCTAAAAGGTGGGTACTTTTAGGCTTTGAGATGTCTCATTGCAGCTTGCAGGGATAATTAACTTACAGTTTGTTCATTTTCAATCTATCTGGTCCGAATAGTCTTATGAATTATTAATTGTTGTGTGCTTGCCACATTATTCATAAAAAAGTATAGTTGGTGGAATAGGAATAAAAAGATAAAAATTTTACCTAGGACAATCCCAGAGTTATTATATCCTACATTTTCCAACCTGACATTCATGTAAATTAACTTTACATACATACAAAAAATGGTCTGAAACATACGTATATGTTTTTTGCGGATAGAAGTGTTAAGGAAATTTAGCACCAAGTTGAGCAGAAGTGCTTAGCACGATCTGTAACTTAAATTACAGGCAAGCCTCGAGAATCACCCACTCTGGGTGTTGGCAGTCTAGGGTCAGACCTCGGCCTTATCTCCAGGGGCTATCAACAGCTAGGTCATTTCAGACTCCAACACAATCAGACTCCATTCAAACTCACTCACTCACTATTAAATACATTATTTTATATTAATCGGGTGAAGATGACCCCTCTTCTGTCAGATTCTCTGAGCCACCTATCAACAGTGTTCATGATTCACAAAGATTTTTTTTAAATGATATTATTGAGTTTGGTGATAGATGTTTTTAAATGTTTTGAGAGAATGTATTTATATGTGTGAATGGTATGTAGCCCAAGATGTCACTGGCGGAACACTCAATTACGACCTACTCACAACCTAGGTATTGTATAAATTGTTTATATGTAAAAAGGGTGATAGAGGAATAATGCACTCCATCAGTCTACTTAAGTGAAAGGTACATAAATAAGAATATATTTAATAATGAGTGATTGATACTGCATGCATTGTGGGCTGAAATGACCTTGTTATCGACAATCCCTTGAACCTAACTTTGGCAGTTGAAAGGGTTAGACCACCAAAATACCAAAGTGAGTGATGCTTGCCGCGAAAAGTCTCAGACTCGGCTCTGATATATGTATACACAATTGCATATATAATCTTGTCTTGTTATTGACTGTCTATAACGGAAAAAGTTACATAACTTGATAGTTTGATGAACATTTACTGCTCAAAATCTTATCAATGTTTCTGCACAAATGTTGAATTGTCAATCAATTGACAATTGATCCATACTGTTACAGAATGTTACATCAAGGAGGCAATATGTTGAAAAATATTGTTAAATTTGCTTGTTTTTACCAAAGAAAATAGAATGAAGAGGGAAGGTGGTAAATAAAGATTTTAAGAAAAGATGGGACATGGGACAAAATTTCTTGGGGGAATGCCTACTTGTTATCCAGCCCATTAACAAAGAACCAAAAAAAAAAAAATTTAAATGACATATAATAATGCAAAATATATATTTTATAGAATAAACTCAATTTACAAAAATGTTTAAATGTAGAAAATGTAACAATATATAAAATGTGTGGTGTTTAGTGACCGTGATTAACTTTTCTAAACTTAGTTATTTGACCAGGCATAAAAGACTCATATTTCTTAACAATCTCCTAACTATTGTAAAAGTACTACTATTCACAGAATTATGCGTTCTGCCAGTAACTTTCCTCATCTTCCTATATTTTAATCCTTCTCTTTCTACATTCTACAATCAAATTTGCAGAAAAGTTAAATGTTGAATTATTATTTATATTCAGGTAAATCTTTTAAAATTTTATAACAATAAAAATATTTTTTCATATAAATTATTTAACTTGTATTTCTTACACATTCAAACACATAAACACACACAACAAATCCTAAAGGAACTTCAATGGTTTGCACTGCAAGGTAGAAAAGGCACCATTAAAATTATATGTGTGATGTTTAGTGACCGTTAGTCAATGATTATTTAGAGATCGTGAGATGTTGTCTGGTGTGACGTAGTTTTAGAAAAAACATTTTCTTTATCGTGCCAACGTTTCGATCTTTATTGAGAACATCTTCAGGGCTCAAAGTGTTTGTTTTCCCATCCACACAATCACAATGCATTGACATCAATGTCTCACTGGCACTCTCAACACGACACAGAAGAATGACACATCTACACGGAAAACAATTGATTTTTGTTGTGTGTGTTTATGTGTTTGAATGTGTAAGAAATACAAGTTAAATAATTTATATGAAAAAATGTTTTTATTGTTATAAAATTTTAAAAGATTTACCTGAATATAAATAATAATTCAACATTTAACTTTTCTGCAAATTTGATTGTGGAATGTAGAAAGAGAAGGATTAAAATATAGGAAGATGAGGAAAGTTACTGGCAGAACGCATAATTCTGTGAATAGTAGTACTTTTACAATAGTTAGGAGATTGTTAAGAAATATGAGTCTTTTATGCCTGGTCAAATAACTAAGTTTAGAAAAGTTAATTTGACTAAGTACAAAAGAACTGTCAATATAGTAATTTATTATTTTGAAAAGAATTAGTAAATCAGAGCGAAGTTTACATGTCTATAGAGGAAGTAAAGTATTGATCAAATTACCTCATTTAAAACTTAATCCTGTTTTATAGGCAAGGATTCTGAGAAATTTAAATTGTACAGATCAAAATTTATGAATTGTTTTTGCAGTGCAGGGTTCCAAAACAAGAGAACAATGTTCAAGCATTGATCTAATTAGCGACTAGATTATACGCATGACTTCATCCCTGCAGAACTCTGTTTTAATGTACCTTTGTAATGCGATGCAGAGTCCTAGCATGGCTTTCTAATATAATGTCTCGTTTTTGAAATTATTCTCTTCTTCAGTTCACTTCAGCCTATATATGGTAAAAAATTGTTCATATATATTCCTTAGGGATGGAATTTCAAAAAATCTTTTTTTATCCATGTCATTATAGGAATGCACTGTCAACATTTCAGCCCTTCAGATCCAGCGGTTTGGTCTCTGCGTTGCTGTCAGTGGAACTGTTTTATATACAAAAAAAATTTTATATATAAAAAATTTATAAAACAAATTATTGCAACCAGCATCTTGTATTAGCTTTCCATCAGATTTTTCTGGTTTAAATTATCTTCATAACACCTTGACCATATTCTTCTATATATGATATGTAAAGAATGGTCAAGGTGTTATAAAAGATAATTTAAGCCAAAAAACTTGATGAACAGCTAATAAATAACGCTGGTTACAATAATTAGTTTTATAATTTTTTTTATTGACGAAAAATGAGAGAAAAAATGGTAAATTAATGTTAAATTATATAAATGACATTTATCCCCTCTAAATACCCCGAACAACGCGCCACAATGACGTGGTGTTTTGAATGTAAATATTTAATTTAAATTAAATTTATTTAAATTTGATTCAGAAATGAGATTTAAAATATTTCAAAGTTAAAAATAATTAAAATTAATTTTTGACATATATAGAAAAAGATCTATGATGAATAATCAAGCGCTAAGACTTTTTTTTAATGCTTACGTCCTACTAAGCAATTAATCTAATTTTTTGTTAAACTAACGGTGTTTTATTATTTTTAACATTATAAAAACCTATTAAATTTTGAAAGGTAATATTATTGACGAACCTTGATAAAAAAAAAACGTAGCCAGGAGATGCAGCAATTACAATAAGACCATTCCTCTGATGACCTGTCAAAGATCCTTACAAGTTATGAATGACAAGTAACAATGTTGATAAGAGCATAAACTTCTTTCTTCTTATAACTGTCGATAAGAAGATCGATTAAAACTCGAAAAAAATATTAATAAACTAGACAAAACGGTATAGTTTTTCTTATTGATTTATTTAAGTATAAAATTTATCAATTGGAACGATTGTTTGAGGGGATTTTGTGGAAACATGGAAGGAAGAGCAGCCATGAGGTCCTCGGTGAAAATCACGATCGATAATCGCCATCGTCGATTTATTTTGCATTTGTTTACAATTTTCGCGAAGTGAAAATGCAAGCCGATTAAGAGAAAAAGCCCGTTTATTAGCGAAAGGAGAAAACTCGATTCTTCGACTTTTCAGAGCTTTTCGCCCTACGCTTCCGCTCGATCGGCCAAACTTGGGATAGCGTGAGATATCTATTTCAGTATTTCACTTTATTAATATCTACGTTTGATTTGGCCTCGTCCGCGTTGTCACCAGTTGGGGATCCATCGGTGAAGAATGATGACGATTTGTTAAAAATTGACTGATCCGGGCAAAATGGGAGATTGCGAAGGGCTTTACGGCATATTCCGCTTTGTGGTGTCCGTCCTTTGCCACTATGACAAAGCCAAGGCCGCCAAAGCCCTGGCCTGCTTGAGGTCTGTCTTCAAGAGCGTTTTGAGTCGGAGGTTCTCTGTCGTCGGAGTTCCTGAAGCGCTCTTGAGACTCGCCTTCCCTGACAGCACTCAACTTGCACAGAGTGAGCTGCTCTTCGTCAACGAAGACTTCAGAGACCGCCACCACAAATGGTCCGCCGTCCATTTTTCCTCAGGGCGAAAGTCATATGTGAGAATGCTGAAAATTATTCCGTCACCTCTCATCCCCAAAAACTGCTCTCTCATAAGCAACTATACCCTGTTCAATGTGAAGAACCATTTAAAGCCAAGCTGTTACTTGCTCTCGACACACCAGTTTGTTGAATTCTCATTTAAGGAAACCCATGACGACTATTATCACAGAGAAGCTACAAAATTGGTCATATCATTCTTCAACGATTCGTACCAATTGTCGCAAAGCTATATCAACGAGACTTTAGAGAATTTTGTACACATGCCAAAATTTGCTAGCAAAGATGATGTTATAGGAATAGATCTGAGTGTATATGGAGCTTACCACAAACAAGGGACGATATACTTCCGTGTCGTCCGAGTCGAATGTGATGGAGTCGAAGTGCCAGGGGAGGTGTTTGCCATAACAGAATCGACTTCAATTTACAGCGAAAAGACATCTCAAGGTTTTCTTCCTCCCGTCGAATGGGAATTAGTTGAAAATGAAAATTTACGAAGTATCAGCCCAATCCTTCCTTTAGGGCTGGAAGATTTCTACAACATAATTTTAAGATGGTTCACCCCTTTCTTCTCATACCATATAGATGGTAAGAATAGACCTCTTAATTCAATTCTTTATTATTCATTGCTATTAATAAACAGCTGTTTTAATTACTTTGCGCACTTTAAATGGTGAGCCAAACATTTTGCATGCAGAATCATCATATAATTTTGCACAATATGCTCATGCTGCTTGTATTAAACATGCAATTAATGAAAGGTTAATTATACAGTTGAACCTTTTGCTAAGGGACTTTTTCCTCTCTCGAAAGGGGTCCTTCTAAGAGAGATTTCCTCTGATATCACACAGCTTTCTTTTTATGTAGTGTGTGGACTTTTATAAAAGAATGACCTTTTGTTTTTACACTGCTTATTTTATTGTAAAACTTAAGTTCTAAATTTTTTTCTAATCTGCTGGTGCTATTAGAATTTTCATAAATAATACATAAATGTATATATAATATATGTGAGGAGTAGTACATTTTAATAACTTCATGATCTTTTAAAGTTTTCCCTCCTGGCATTTTGCTAAACAACTAATGTCTTTACACTAGGTCTCCCAAACATAAAACTCAAGCACTTCTTTTCTTTTCTTCAAAGTAAATCTTTGGTGGTCGGAGCAATTTTGAACTGAAAAAATTTGAACTTAAAGTGAAATGATAAAATGAAAACAATATCAGAAAGAAAACCAAATTAGATGTGAGGGGAGAAGTTAACAAATTGAAGGAAACACCTTCAATGAATCAATCATTGATAACGTCGAGATCGTTTATACTCAGGGATCATTTATGTTACCTAAAATATAAAAAAAATAATAATAATAATCTGGTCGTTTCCTACTCAGAGGATTTTTATATTTTACATTTTGTAGGAAGATTGGACACTGTTCTTTTCTTTTGTTTAGAATGTCTCCTAAGTTCAGGTGTTAAATACATTTAAAAAAAACACCTTTTATGCCGGTAGATCTGTAATTGTACTGTAAACACAGATCTCCCCTAAACAAATTATTCTTCCCTTATTAGAGGTTTCACTGTATAAAATAATTTTCAATTAATATTATTCTTTAAGTAATTTGGTCAATCGGACCGAATTGGTATAAAATAATATTATTTCAATGTTGTATTTTTTTATTTTACTTGCAGATTTGACCCCCTTTTTTATAGTAAGTGGTAAACGAGGTTCTGGCAAAAGTATTACATTGGAAGCAGTCAGTAAAAAATTAGGCGTCGGTTTTAATAAGTTGGACTGTAGCAACCTTTTGGCGAGTACGCAGACTCAAATAAATGCAAACATTAAGACTGTTATGAGAAATTTGACTAACTTTTCACCATGTGTATTAGAACTTTATAATACTCAGGTAGTTCATATATTTATTTTATTAGTGATTTGTTTATTATTAATTATTATTTTCAATATTTATGCAAAGACAGTTGAAAAGAAAAATTAGTGTCATGAGCGGGACTTGAACTCACAACCTTCAGCTATTAGTGGTAAAGGTATTGAAACAATAGCCGGTTGAGCGGAGAAGTTGGTGTTTTGGGGGATCAAGGCTAGAGCTCAAGTGTTTAGAGCACCGGCGTATTTAGCCGAAGATCATGTGTGAGTTGTTTGACACTAATTTTTCTTCTCAACCATCTTTGCATAAACATTGGAAAAAAAGTAGTTCATATATTTAAAAAAATGTTTCTGCTTGAAAAGCTTGAACAAATACTCTTTTTTTAATCAAAACTCAACTCTTTGCTGATTTACACTAATACCATTTTTGTTTGCAGCTTTTATCAATAGATTCAGATGGAATAGATAGTGAACAAATATTATCTAGTTTCTCCCAAAATATCAAGAATTTAAATTCTGATTATCCTTTTGTTGTTGTAATGACTTGTGAAGACATAAACGAATTGAAGCCTAGTCTTGTTAGCTTATGTTTAGAACATCTACAAATATCTTCCCTTAATGAGTCTCAGAGGCATTTGAATATCACATGGTTGGCTCACAGATATCGAATTACACTTAGTGAAGAGATTCATAACTATATTACAATGCAGACTTCTTCGTTTTCAAATTCAGATTTACAGAAGTTGTTGTGCCTTTCGGAAAAAGAACGTATAAAAGGAGGATCTGAAGTCATGGAGACGCATCACATTAAGAAAATATTAGGTAACAATCAGTGGATAAAACTTTTAAGGTAATAAACTATTGAGAAAAACTCCTCTTTCAGAACAAATGACCGTTGTAAAAAGAGGAGACATGAAAGATGTCGAATGGCAAGATATCGGTGGTATTGAAGCTATTAAAAAAGAAGTTATAAGTTCGTTGTTATCTAGTCAGCTAACATCTGTAAAAAGGACAGGTGTGCTTCTCCATGGACCACCAGGAACGGGGAAAACTCTTCTCGCAAGGGCTGTGGCCTCACAATGCGGAAGGGCATTCATTTCAGTTAAAGGGCCTGAATTACTTAATATGTACGTCGGACAAAGTGAAGCAAACATTAGGCAAGGTGAGATGATTTGTTTTACTTCTGCACCTGGAAGTATTAATACCTTGCTACATTAAAAGGAATATTATCTGCTTGTACCAAGTGCAGAAAAGAAAAAATATTGCATGTTCAGAATTCAAGTAATATTAGTACTTTACATTTATTTAAAATTTTAAATATTTATTGTACATTTTTCTTTTTTTCAATTTATTGTAGAAGAAATATTGAAGAAATGATCAGTTTTATATTGTTAAAAATTTATTANGTCGGTAATAAAAATACAAATACATGAGATTTACTGTCTTTTTAGGAATAACTTTTTTTATAATCGGACATATTTTTTTTGTCTTTTCAGAAATTTTATTTTATTAATACAGGAAAATATTTATGTAGAGAAAAATTAACATTTCGATAAAACTTCATTTCAATTCACAATTATGTATTTTTCAATGACAAATTTTCCAGATTGACAAATTTCCAAAATTGCATCTGTGTTAGAAGATTTTGGTTGAAAAGTTATATGTTAACTTGTTCAAAAGTACTGTCTAATGTTATTTTTGCAAAGTCCGAGATTCTGGTGCTTTCACGGTAACCATGTTTTGTGATTACCAAGTTGTACTGTTTATAAGTAGTTATTATATTTTTTCTTTTTAAATAATTTAGATGTGAATTTGTACCTTCCTTGGTAATTTAAAAAAAATATATAATTAATATTGCTTGAAATTTTACAACTGTTTGAAAATTAACATTACCTGATTTAAGCTCTTTTAAATTAATGTGTTTGAAAGTAGTTTATTTTGAGAGTGAATTGCTTAAACTTAAATCATATACCCATACAATATTTTTAATACTCATCACACACTAAACTACCCCTCCTCTACAACAAACAAAAGGTTGTTTACTAATTAGAAAAACTAACTTTTTGTTACAAAAAGTTTTCAGTAAAGCTAAAGAAGCTTCACCTTGTATTATTTTCTTTGATGAGTTGGATTCGCTTGCCCCTAACAGAGGGAACAAATCAGACTCTGGAGGTGTGATGGACAGGTCTGTTCACCGAGAATTTTCAAATTTACAATCAATTTCATTTTACTTTTTTTCTTTATGCCACTTATGTCTAGATTAAAACTAATATTTCTAGAGTTGTATCCCAATTATTAACTGAAATGGATGAGCTTGATAGCACAGGCAATGTATTTATCCTTGGGGCAACCAATAGGCCTGACCTAATAGATCCTGCTTTGCTAAGGCCAGGAAGGTAACACCATTTCTGTAATTCAATTATTTTAATTGTCTTGATTTAATTTTGAAAATTGGCATCAAGATAATTACAAATAATACTAATTTAATCTGCTTAGTATCTAAAGACGAACTTCTTCATTTCTTTCATAAATCTTTTGTAGTATACTTACCAGGTTATAATTTTTTTTCTTTTGTTAATTTTATTTCAACTAACAAAGGGTGAATGCTTGTAAATTTTATAAAATTAATTTACTATTGCAAAATATTTGTGTGCATATGTTTGTGGAAAAGTAAAATTGGTTGTAATGATAGCAAAGATTAATTTATATCATTTATTCATTGCAATTTGTAATTCTGTTCTGAAATGTAAGATTTGAATTTGTTTGTTTTCTGGTACTGAACAGTTAAAAAAATTAAAAAATACTGATTTATATACCCTTGTTTTCTAAGGACAGGAAAATTTGACCAACATTATTAAGTTCATATTGTTAATGTTTATGTGGTTACACATTAATAAAGTTTTCATTGTTTTAGATTTGATAAAATGATATACATCGGCCCTTGCGAAGACACTGAATCAAAGCTTAAAGTTATGTCAGCTCTCATTAGAAAGTAAATGAACTTGTTATCTTATTTTTAAATGAAAAGTTTTAATTTGAATTTTTATCTTTAGCTTCAATCTCGAGGAGATCGAATTGGAAAACATTGTCAACAAACTTCCCGACAAATTAACAGGTGCTAATCTATATGCGATTTGTTCTTCTGCTTGGATGAATGCTGCAAAAGAATTGATAGGTATATTTGTCATTTTTGACCTTTTTTTTTTCTTTCTAAGCTTGACTTTGCCATTTTTGGATTTCAGGCAACGGCAATGTGAGCCCGGAGGCGAAAGTGGTAGTCCGACAGAAACACTTTGAAAAGGCAATTTCAGAAGTGAACATTTCGTTCTAAAATGTGATTTTTTCTTACATTGTAATACATCTTTACAAATAAATTATATTTTTCTATCAATACTTGTTTATTTCTTACAAATTACCTCACATTCAAATTATAAAAATAGGTAACAGCTTATCTTATAAATGTTAAGTCAGGATTAATAAACATTTCCTCGCTCGTCTTATATCATTAAGAACACCAATCAAATTATACACTTACAATTTAAATAAAATTATTTGATTAAACTTAAAGTTTCATGTCGTTTATTTGGCACTTGGTTTCAATAATAACACTATCCTTGGAAAATACATTAATTTGTCCCCTTGTGTGTCAAATGAAAAAAGTTATTCCTTCTAGAATGACAGGAAGTTTTTTTTTCTTGGGTCAGTTGTGACCAATGGGTTTTTACTCTGCGACATTAAAGATCTATTGTGCAATTAGCATTCCACAGTGGATCATTGATGTCCAAGGGTGGCCTCATTGAGGTCCATTGGTTGTTGTGTGAGGAAGGTCTCTAACTTCACAGAGGTACTTACAACACAAATGAAAAACATGTAGTGCCATTTGCCTCTCCCCTTGGTGGGAGATTATTGCTAATGCAGGGTAATGCAATGCCCCATAGGGCACATATTGTGTATTGGAATTGAGTGCTTGGTGTGGCCAGCTCGAAGTCCACATTTGAACCCAATCAAACAAATTTGGGACCAACTTAAGTGACAAGCACGTTGGCGAAACCCAAGTCCTAACACCCTAGAAGAGTTGGAAACAGCTGTTCTTTATGAATAGGAAAAAATTCCTCAAAATTTTATAAAAATATTTTTCGAGGAATGCAAAGGTGTTTAATGTGATTCGTGCCAGACGTGGGAATACCTGGTACCTGGTACCAAAGGGGACCAATTTTTTGTTCTTTACTTGATAATGTTTTTTTTAGAATTAGATAATAAAGTTTCTTTTTAAATGTCTTATTTTTACAACCAAATCAATGTTTGATATGCAAAATAAGGATAAATTTAAATACATTAAAATTTAAGGGTGATGCATTAATTTTGTCCATCAGTCTTTTTAAAAAGATTTTAACAACACACTCCACCATTTATCATTTATATTTGTAAATCAGTGTATTTACAAAAGGTTTAAATAAAAAGCTAAGTACATTATGTATTTTTACAAATTATTATTACAAATTATCAAGATGGTCATTTTGAAAAGGACCGAGGCCGCATGGGTATTTGGAGTTAACGAAACGACAGGTTAAATTCAAACAAGAAGATCAGGAATGGCTTATCAGTGATAACGAAAGTAATGAATCCGTTTTAGTTGCACACATTACAAAATATTTCACTTTGACCACTGAATAAAGTTAAGCCCTACGAGATGAATAAGAGTAGAGCTCCGAAGAAGCCGAGGTCGGCAGGAAGCAACATAGACCAAGTATGCATTAAAAAAAAAGAAAAATGTTTTATGAGATTTATGCTCTAACTGACGAATCCTCAAGCTCGGGATTTTCGCCATGCCTGACTTCGAAGGAGATGATGACGGCGAAGAAGTAGACGACGATCTGGAGGCCGAGCTGGACGCGATTCTTAACACTGGAGGAGGAAGGCCTAAACCTAAACCAAAACGTATGCACTACAATGCATTTACTTCATAACTTTTACCTTACAGGTTGCCATACAATTACAAAAATTACAAAGGATTCTAGAATATAATCAAAAAATGGTATAAAGAACCTTGGTTAACAAAACCGTTGAATATAAAATACAGTCAAACATATCGTACACTTTAATTTTTCTGTTCTGTTTAAAATTTTATGGAGCCTAATGGACCTATAGGCTCAGCATAGTTCATTTGGCAAGTTTCCCCTTTTTTGATATCATGTCCAGGTGTCAAACTTATAATGAGGCACTTGAATACAAAGCTTTGTTCAGAATTATTATTTCCAATTTTTATACAAAGACAAGAAAAAAAATTAGTGTCATGAGCGGGATTCGAACCTTTGGCTGTGGCTCAATACACTGGTGTTCTTACCACTTGAGCTATCATGTCCTTGATCCCCCAAGACACCAACTTCTCTCAACTGGCTATTATTTAAATATCTCTTTTACCACCAATAATCTTCTCAACCATTTTTGCATAAAAATTGGACATAATAATTAATAATAAATAGAAAACTAATTAAATAATTTGTTCAGAATTCTATCAAACTGGCAACTATTTTGTCAACAGAACAATTAAGATTTTGAAAAAACAAAAACAAAAAAACAAGCAAACTAGAATTCAGATTCAGAGCATTCATACTGCATCATCATTTTTTGTTGCGTAAATATATTTTTTCTTTTCAAATTGTATCTTTTCTCCATTGTTCTTATACATACGTTTGTACCGTGTGCTTCATTTTTCACCGCAACAGGAAAAAATACATGTTGCATTGATTATTGAAATGGCCATGCAATGAGTAGAGCTGTTGCTTTTTTTTAGTGCAACAATTTGAAATTAGTTACTAAATTCCAATAAGATTGTCCCGGGGAAGAGCCGTGATAATAAGTGTTTGTTTAAATAGAATTATGCCAAAACATGTCTGAGTCTACCATGTATTACTTTCATATTCAGCTTTTGTTTGTTCAGTTCAATACAATGTAGTACTTATGGGGTGAAGTTGTTTTACAGTGGTAATTGTGTTACCACCATTTACCTTGGAGACATGGTAAAAGTGTTCCACGAATAGTATCCTCAATGTATGATACTGTTTCAGTCACAATTTATGAGTGATTTTGAGTTTTCAAGAAATGGGAAATTTTCAGCATGCTCATTGAGGTAGTATCAGCAGAGAGATAACATTAATGAAAGTCTTTTGGGTTCGAATCCTGGCAGAGCCCATGGCTTTTAATTGATTATAGTATGAAAAATAGATGGTAAACTGGTTTGATTGTGATACCCAATGGGTAGTTGGTTGTTAAGCCCTTTTGTATGGTAGGAATTACTATAGTTTACTTTCCACCTTTTACTGTTGTGGCCACCATGCCAGGTAATCTAGAGGTGAGGTGATTGGTCAAACTCATGACTGTGAGATTTACTATTCGAGAGTCTGATGCCTTATTCACTTTCCAGTTTATTAGGGAAATTTATCCTCTTCTTCATTATCAAGTCAACAAACTCATAGTGCAGTGACTATATAATGAAAAAGACTATTGACTATTCTATAGTTTCATTTCATCTATAGTTCATTTAGCAAATTTATCCACTATGTGTGGTGATTAGTGAACGTTAGTCGATGATTATTTGAAAAAGTGCCCTCTCAACATGACAAGAATAGCACAATTACGCAGCAAACAAACTCTTTGAGCACTGAAGATGATCTCAATAAAGATCGAACATTAGCACGATAAAGAAAACGTCTTTCTGAAACCTACATCACACCAGACCGCATCTCATGATTTCTGAATAATAATTTATCCACTATTTCATTACCACATCCCTTTACCAAACTTGAATGCAACACTTTGTTCAGAATGCCACTCTTCTATTTGATTGGCCCATATCCTTGAATTTTTCATGTATTCGGACTGAATTTGATATAGTTAGTTTTAAAACAGATCAATATTATTTAGCATAGTTTATTTGGGAAGTTTATCCATTTGTTCAATACTACATCCTGACACTAAAGTCAGTGTGGAAGGACTCAAATATTTTTATTTCATCCTTCCACTATTAATTTGTTAATACGTGAATATTTTGAAGCTGCCTGTCTTAGATTTTTTTGTAAAATGATAATCAAAATAACTTTCAAAACCAAAGCATGTTAATTTTTCAATTATATTTTATTATACGTATTTGGCAAGTTTATTTAGTGGATTAAATGTTAATTGTAAGTTGACAAAAGTTGTCACTGAAAAAAAAATTGTCATGTCAAAAGTTGTACCCATTAGTTGATTAATTAAAATTATAAATTTATATTTTCACCTTAATTTCATTTTAACTTTAGATTGGTCCTCACAATATAACTATATTAAAAGAGAAACATGTAATAGTTTTAATTCACTTGTCAGAGATTTAATTAAAATGCACTACTAGTTATCTGTTTAATTGTAATTTAACGTATTAAATCCAATTTTTTCCTCAAATATTTTTGTTGTTGTTGATAAATTGACAGGTGATAGTCTTCTTTCATTACTTAATGAAGACACAATTGATGTAGCCTCCGGAAGTATTTGTTTTCAACTATGTAATTGTACTATGTAATGTATTCATGTGCAGTAATACTTTATGTAGAGTGTTCAATCGTATTTTTAGCCCAAGTACCGTCTAATTTGGAAAAAATGGTAGCTGAGAGTTTACGAGACATTCCTTCTGATGAAGAATTGTCTGGAGATGAAAACGATCCAGAATTGCTTGTAAGTAAAGCTGTCCTTTATAATATTACTTTACAAAATGTATTGTGTAATAGAAGCAAGTATTCGTCAATATTTTCATGCCAGAAAAATATATAAATTTTGGTGTATACATTTTTTAAATTATAATCTCTCTTTAAATAGGCTGAGTTTAATTCTGTCTTGGGTGAAGAACCAGTCGATAAACCAGAAGAGAAACCACAAGTGATGGCACCAACTTTTCAAAGCCAAGATTTTGTTAAAATTATTACAGAACGCATTGAAATGTACAAACAGGCAGAGAACAACGCTAAGACTGTCGGTGACGTATCCAAAGGGAGGAGGTAAGTGGGTCGAAATCAACATTTAAAAATTGTTCCTCTCAATATTTCTTGCCTTTAGACTTGCACGAGGCTTAAAAACTCTACAAGACCTATTGCAAAAGGCAAAATCAGGTTTTGCAATAAAAGAAAGCGATATCCCATTACCAGTGAGTGTTACAGCTTTAAAGCCAAAAGTTGAAGATCCTCCCCAGTTATTCGAACCATTACCTATTGGTAAATGACTGCTAGCAAAAATGAAACTTACGCATTTGCTTAAATATCTCTTAAATTCAGATGGAGACGGGTCAGTAGATTCATCGGTAAACTCTCAGCCTCTGTCTCCTGTAGACAGTAATGAAGCACCTCTTATAGATCTAAAAGATAACAGTCCTACCTCAGAAAATACTGAATTGTTAAATACTTTAAGTGAAAGAAAGGAACAGTATAAAATTGCTGCTGTTGTAGCAAAAAAGAATGGTGATGTGCAAACTGCCCTTTGTTATGTAAAAATTGTTAAGGTAACTAAAAAATAAAAAAAATGCAGTTAAAACATAATAATTCTTTTTTATATACATTTTAATTTTTCAATAGCAATTTGACAATGTGATAGCTGCTGTTAAATCAGGACACACTGTTGATTTAAGCAACATGCCTGGACCCCTAACTTCTCAACAAATGTCCCCACAGCCAAACATAAACGAAGCTCCAACACCTGCAGTCCCGAAAGTTCATTCAGAACCAGAACCAGTATCAGAACAGCCTTCGGAAAGTGGTATATTTCCTTGTGCAAATGTTCCTTCCTCAAATTGATATCAGTTAACAATGCTATAATTTTTTTTTAAAAAACATGTAGAAGCTCCAGAAGGACCAAAAGTGCCAGAAACCATTTTAGAAGCTCTTGAACAAAGATTGGCAAAGTTTAAAGAGTCTGAAGAGGCGGGCAAAAAAGACGGGAATGCAAGTAAAGTTCGGCGAATCGGAAGGATAATAAAACAATATGAAGATGCAATTAGGCTCCACAAAGCAGGCAAACCTTTCCCAGTTGAAGATTTGCCGACCCCACCTGGTACCCTAGTGTAGAATATTGATGAAGAAAATGAGTAACATGAACTTTTTTTTTAGGTTTTGCACCTATCCCAGTGGGTCCTCCAGCTGCTCCAGTAGCTCCCGCAGTCCCCAGTTCTCCACATCCTTCAAAAACATCCATCTCCATTCCACATCCGTCAATAATGGATACACCAGTACCACCTGTCGCACCTAAAAGTCCTGTACCTACACCTAAGGCTCATAGAGCTGCACCTCCACCGCCTGTTTCTCCAGTGGCACCATCAACGTCTAGTCATGGTATTGTAATTTTTTTATTACCCTCAATCTACACACTACATACTATAAGCAAATATATTAGGAGGGTCTGTCACTCGTCAAGAAAAGCAACTAACAATTTTGAAGTTGAAACAAAAACAGTTTAAGGAGGCAGCAATAAAGGCAAAACAAAATGGGAATATTGAATTGGCTAAAGAACTTCTTCGTAAAATGAAAAACTTTGATCCTCTTATAGAAGCTACTATAAGTGGCCTACCAGTCGACATGTCCACAGTAATATTTTAATAAAAAATTAAACAATTTTATGTTTTATGTTAAACAATTAAACAATTTACAATTTTTGTTTGATAAATTCAATAATTATTGAAGAATCAGGTTTAATTTATTGGCAAGTTTTTTACTTGATGCTTTTATAATGATAATCTCTTTTTAAAAATTTGCAACAAAATTAAAAGTGATTTTTACAGCTTCCAGCACCTCCAGGAAGTCAAGACTCAATTGAAAAAGAGTTTGAAGTGATCAATCTGTCAGATCTCCCAATAGGTACAACTTCTGAAATTTATAACCAACTCATTACTGATCTTCAAATTCAAATTAAGGTTAATCCCGCATGTCATATTTCATTCACTACATTCATCTCAGTCAAACTGTGTAACAGCAGATAATCATTGAAAAAAATTCTATTTCAGACGTGCATGGAAACCAGAGCTCACTACAAGGCCATGGGAGAAGTGGCGAATGCAAACAGATTCGAAAATTTAGCCGTGGACACAAAAAAAGACTTGGATACTGTGAAAATTGCCTGCAACAAAGATGACCCTGTGCCGAGGTTCCATTATGAAATGAGAACGTTTTCAATTGTTAGGTAATACTCACTTTTCCTTATATTTTAACAACGTTTAATATCTTATCTTTTCAGATGTAATATTGATTTAACGGACAATGATTTGGAACTAACAATCATGCAAGGGATAAATTATAATGTTCTAAATCCAAAAGAAATCGACACTTACGTCCGCTATGAATTTCCTTATCCAACAGTTAGAACAATAAATACTGGTTACCCAAATCAATATGGTTTTGTTAATATTTTTTATTGTTTAAAGGATGATCCCAAAAAAGATAAAACATCGACTGTATATAACACAAACAATCCTGTTTATGATACAGTGGTGATGCTAGCTATCCAAAGAACAAATCGTGCCTGTCAAAGGCTGTTTAAAAGGCATAGCATTAAATTGGAGGTGTGGTCAAAAGGGTAAGTTAATTTCTGTATAATAAAGTAAATACTGTTTTATGGGTGCTGTTAATTATATTTTAATAGAATGTAGATAGTTTATGGAATGTCTTGCTAATTTTTTTAATGCTAACCTATTTGTAGAATCTAAATAACAACAAATTAATATGAATTATGTTCTTTTTTGGTTCTTAAGGAAGTTCTCTTTGGTGTTAAGGAAGTTGAAATGTTGACTTGTATTGTAAAATAAGTCCACAGCCTTTTTCAATAATTTAATTTCAACCCTCCTGTGTTTGGAAACAATGTTTATTTAATCATTATTGTGTATGCACTATTAAAAGGGATTATGAAAGTGTTTTTGTTCTTTAGTGTTGTTCGATATCTCATATTTTTACAAGGGTTTTACTAATTGAAAATTGAAGAAACAATAGTACATTTTGGCCATTTAAACAGTTTTTTATTACCGCAAAGGGAAACAGCAGTTTAGCCTTCTAGAAAATTTATTAATAGTAATGGCAATTTAGGAGAAATCACTGTTTATAAGTGTTTCTTGGTTCAGAAGCATAAATTTTCATTTGAAAGGCACAAACTGTTATTCTTCAACTGTTGATGGCGACCAAATTCAAGCTTTTGTCACAAATAACCCACACTCAACAATACGGGTCTGCTTATCTCATATTAAAGAAAGACGCATTTGAATGCATCTGAAACCAGCTGGATATGTTTTTCAGTATGATATAAGGGATTTTCCTATTGATTAAGATTGACTGAGAAGAATTTATTGGAGCACAACAACAAATGCTATGGACTTATTTTATGACTTGATAAATACTCTTTAAAAATATAAAAAATAATCCTCAATCAACTGAGACACAAGTAAAACTCATTGTTAAAATTTTTGTATTCATCCTTATCTGACTTGGTGGGTTTTGGTCAAATTTCTTTTTACATTTCATCATCAAACCACGGTATCAAACTGACCAAAGCAGTCGCTGATGATCAGGTTGATCAGAGAAGCTAATGAAATGTGTTGGATTAGTAAGTTTGTGCAGTCTTTAAATCACTATATTTTACAATAAAATAATAGTAGAATCCATGTTTTAAAGTGAAAACCTAAGGAAGTATTTGGATTGTGATGGCTAGGCTAAATATGAATAAATTGAAACTAATATATCTGGTATATCTGCATCTTGTGCAAAAGAATAGCAAATACTTGTTGAATTGCAAATTTATTATTTGAAAAATGCACATCGTCTTATTTTGTAGAGAATGAGTCAAGAATAAACTGTAATTTAGATAGTGGACAGCACTATACGTTGTACTTGTTAATGGAATCTATGGGAACAGTTAGCTACAATTGTATGTTTTTTTAACTTTTGTCTTTCAAGTAACTTTCTCAATTTGTTTATTTTTATATAATCACTTATGTGATGTTCGTTTAACGACTTAGTCACATTTCCTTGTTTGGTAGTCTGGTTGTGGTGTTATTTTTGATGTCTTTCCTTCAAAGTTTTAAATCAGGTTCTGAAATACGCAGTTTCATTATTAAAATTGTTACAGGTGTGTTTTGAGTGCACTTTGTGGTATGTGTACTAAGGATTCTGGCGTTGTAAGGTAGGGCGATAAGGGCAAATAGGTTGTCACCAATCAGCTTTTATGATCATCAAGCAATTCTGTCTCATTATAATCATACATTTCTTTGGCAACTTAAAAAAAAAATTATCATAACATTTTGTTTTTGTCTTGACAATTTCCTTTACATTAGCTGTCATTAGTCATAAATAATATTTCCCATAATAAGATGTATTATTCATATTTTTAAAAAAATTGTTTTTTATTTAATTTATATATATATA